ATCAGAGCATGAACTCGGATCGACTTGGAAGGACTCTAGACTGGGTGGTAGGTCAAGTGGCCGCCATTAGTCAACATCTCAAGGAGACTCAAGCAGACTTAGCCGACTACCATCGTCAGACAGTCAAACGGTTCGATGACCTAGAGTGAGGTAGGACGGACCCATCGCTCTACACCTCTTCAAGATCCCCTTCATCAAAGGATAGGAAAAAGGCACTAAGAAACAGAGAAAGAGTGGATAGAGTTGACAAATGACAGGAGGCCAATGAAGTTTTCTATTTCCCACTCACGGTGCAAATCAAAGAAAAAAATAAAGTGATCAAGGAAGAAGAAGATGAATTGGTCGACAAGGAAAAATGCGTGATAGCAAATCCTGCAGAGAGAGACTTGGTTGGCTCAATTTCAACTCCTACAGAAGCAAAGATTTCTCCTGACCCAGTGAACACTCCTATAACAGAGGAGGTTGAGGAAGCTCTGGAGGTGATATCCATCGAACTCCATATTGATCCTATCGCCAGTGAAGCCATCGAGGAGGGTGAACAAGTTTCTGCATGCGAAAAGAAGTGCGACAGTTTGGAAGGTGATCCCTTGACTCGGGTTAAGGAAATTGGCGAGCTTACGTGCCCATTGGGTTTATTACCCATTTCGGAGGATGAAACTATGTCTCCAAAGAACCGTCCAAAGTTGTACCTAGGAAGTTGTGATGCTAACTCGACGGAGTCGAGTATTCTCCCACCTGGGGAGAATGATGTGGACATCGGCACGAAGATCTGGCACATCTATCACAGGAGGCGTCGTAAATCGACGGCTCTAATTTAAATTGTTATTTAAAATTTATTTTATGAATGTTAGCTATTATTTTATGTTATTTCCTATTTTACCCCTAGGTTAGTTTATTTGAGTGTTATGGCCCAAGGGGCATTTTTGTAATTTTTATTTTCTCATGTTATGGCCTATATATAGGGCCTTAAGCTATTGTAATAGGATGATTAATTTGATATGAAAATTTTGTGTTTTCCACACTTGTGTTGTTCTTGAGAGAGGACGAGAGTGAGATTCCTATGAGAAGGAATCGAAGTTGTCACCAGCCGCAGGATGGGTCCGGGCTCGTGAATTGAAGTCCCTTGAAGAAGGGAAAACGAATCACCCATCAACCTTGGAGACGGCCGAGTTCGTGGTTTTATTCTTTTGTTGTATGTTCGTCTTCACTCACCACCCTCCTTATTCTTCTTCGTCACATCCGATTCATCCACCAAATTTCCCCACATTTCCCCCACAACAAGTTCCACTAAAATCCTCACCATAACCGTCGGATCTCACCCCACCCGAGCTTCATCCTTCACATCCAAGCCCACGGCCAACTCCCTCACCTACCGGCCACCTTCCCCATCCACCCGTGAATCTCCTAGGCTGGCCCCTCCTCCTCCTTTCCTTTGCTTAATTAAGAGCCAATTAACGCTCCTAATTAATCCCCTCATTCACTCAAAATTCTTTGGAAATATTTCCAAAATTTATTGAGAGAAAATAGGAAGTAATTCCCTAATTCTTCTCTTCCTTTCCTATTTGTCACGTCCACTTCTATTCACTTATTTCAGTTTCTTGAATTGGTTTTAATTCCAATAATCTAACCACAATTCAGCCACCTCCTTAAGCTAACGTCAATTCTGTCCATTCATTCTCAGCCTCCTGAATTGGAACTAATTCCAAAATCTGGCCAATTCACCCGCCTCCTCCTTAATTGCTGTGGCTTGGTATTATTTCGAATTTCCATAAGAAACCAATCCACCGAACCTGATTGCTGCTGCCAGTTTTCTCGTTGGAATTAAATCCTAAATTTTCCATCAAAGTATTTGAGGAAATAATTCAAATTCCCTCAAATAATTTGCTGTCCAGTTAATTCCTGTAGGCAGAATTTTTCTCAGCTTGTCTTTTCTCCATCAAGGCTGAAATTTCCCAAAGCCTCACCTAGGCTTGCTGTCAGATTTTTGGAAAAGAGACTGTTCGGGCCCCACAAATCCCATCTAATTTCTCTTGCCAGCTGAAAATTAATTCCCTCCTCCCGTGAAGCATTCCTTCTATTTGGAACCTGAGAATTTTCTCAGGTTTTGGAACAAAAACCTGAAGAAAATTTTCAGATTTTGTGAGCTGGGATAAATCCAGATTTCTTTCAGTTTTTGCAAGGAACAGTTTCAGATTTTGGAGAGGAGATCCTCTCCATAGCAAAGCTTTGCATTTTCGTTCTACATCAATGCGTGTTTCGGACATTCCTATACAAACTATAAACGACCAAGAAGTTCACATGTTTTCTTAGTTAAAATTAAACCAAATAGGTGTATCGAAAAACTATGTGCTAAATTGAACTCTGTTCTTTAATCTAAAAGCATAACTGTGTTGTAATGAGTTGGTCAAAAGGACATAATGCATAACTTAATGATTGCATAATAAGTCAGAAAAGTAGAACTAGTGAGGTAACTATACATTCCATCTTTATTTTGTTTATCAGGTAAATATGATGGCAAAAGTTTGGAGATTTAGTCGAGCATCAGCAGACGCATTTCATCTTAGGAAAGTGTAAGATTGGACTACTTATACCATCATGAAGATTATCCTTTCCAAATGTCTCATAATCACATAACTTTGTTGATTCTGATTATTCTCTTTTCACCCTACTCTTAAATATATCAACTTTTTAAAATGGTTCTAATGTAAGACAAAAGATGCAAACTAACAAATCAAAGCTCTACTTTGAATGGGTGAATCTCCCGCAATACACAATGTTAAGCAAGTTTATATTCTTTTGAACTCAAAGATAATACAACAATAATGTCAAGAATGGGCGAACAATTTAGAAAATCTGATCAAGATCTTAAAAGTCTATCATAGAAAAAGAAGGAATCAAATCTTTAAAAAATTGAGAGCACTATAACAACCGAATGGTTACAACAACTCGTGGTTCAATTTATTGCAGTATTAAATTGATCTCAAAGCCATTTTTAGTTCTTTAATTTTACTTGCATTAAACCCACTGGTCTTAACCTTTATTAAACCCACTGGTCTTAACCTTTATTAAACCCAAAACCAGTTCATGTAAACCTCTATAAATAGACCCCAAATGCTGTAATTGAATTCAGGAAATGAGATTTATGTTTCATCCTTTTCTAATCTCTCTTATTCCCCTTCTTCTACCTTAAGGAGTCCACACCTACTCAAAAAGTGTCTTCCCGATCAAGAAGCTTAACAAATAGACTCTTGTTGAGACCAAACTCACATCTCCACCTACCTTAGTCAGCCAACAGTCTCCACCGCAGTCTCACTTCTTTCAGCCGATAGCCACCTTTCTCTTCCACCGAAACCCACATTTTTTCACCTCCTATCCTAGCTGTCCATTAGTTTCCACTGCAACCAGACTTTTTTTCCTCTACAGACAGCTGCCAATCAGTCCACCTATCTTCAGCCGCCAGTTTTTCTTCTCTACAGCCAGTAGCCGTGCTGCCTTCAGCCTCGCCAGAAGCAACCTGCTGTTTTTCTCAAGAACAGTTCTCCATTTCAACTCAAGATCTGCCATTAGCTGCTGTTCTCCAAAGAATCTGCTACCCACCTTCCTTTTTCAACATCAAGAACTAGCAAAGGGTGCAAATCTCATCACCAAAGGCTGCAGCCTTTCGATTTTCTGCCTCTCTCCACTGGGCCATCACCCGAGCTAGCTTTTGTAACTCATTTCAGCATCAAGATCTTAATTCTCCCTACAAAAACAGCCCAATTCTTGCAATTTACTCTTTCTTCTTTCAAGATTCTATAAGGTCACGGCTCTTGTTATCAAGAACCATATCTTTTATTCCCTTTCACCAGCCACCAAAGACCTCTCAACATGAAAAATGTAAATTTGGTAAAAGCTCTCAGAACAATACAAACCAATCAAAAATTAAAATTCTCTGAAATCCAAAAATATCTACACCAAGCTAATGTTCAATTTGCCTCCACTGCTCATCACTTCAACAATTCCATGCTTTCATGCATTCTATTAACAAGAAACTTGATAGTTTGTGCATTGACCACCCACCTCCTATGCTCCATCAAGATCCTTCCTCTTCCATGGCATCCTTGATTCCGCTGATCGAATCCCTTCTTCACTGCCACCACTATATCCTACAAGTTTCTCTTTTCTTTAATCAATGAAAATTGAACTTCAACACTTTAATGAATTCAACATCAAAACATGGATGTTTAAAGCACAGGAATACTTTGATTTTCACAACACTCATGATTATCATCTTGTTAAGATAGCTTCTTTTTATCTTTGAAGGATCTGTAGATACTTGGTACCAATGGTTATGCATGAAGCTCTTTCTATCTTTTTTCCATCTCTCAACCTTGAGAACAAGGTTGTTTTTCATGTCGATGGGAGTGTTAAGCAACAATATATTTTTGGGATTAAAATATAGTACAACAACAATGTCAATAATGTGTGAACAATTTAAAAAATTATCATCAAGATAATAAAATACTTAAAGTCTATCATAGAAGAAGAAGGAAGCAAATCATTTAGAGATTGGGAGCTTTATAACAACTGGCTGGCTATAACAAGTCGTGGTTCAATTTATTTCAACATTAAACCGGTCTCAAACCCATTTTTAGTTCATTTATTTTACTTGTATTAAACCAGCTAATCCGAACATCTATTAAACCCAAAACCGGTTCATGTAAACCTCTATAAATAGATCCAAAATGTTGTAATTGAATTCAGGAAATAAGATTTCTAATTTCGTTCTTTTCTAGTATCTCTTCTTCTCCTTCTTCTTCTTTAAGGAGTCCACACCTACTCAAAAGATGCCTTTCCCTTCTTGATGTAGATCAAGAAGCTTAACAAGGATTAATTGACTTAAAATACCACTTTTTTAGCAGTCATCCAAAATCAATAATAAGATTTTGAAAAAGACTGACATAAATAAATGGAATGCCATAATGTAATGGGCCAAAAGAGACAAGTAAAAAGCCACTCACGGATACTTAGTTTCCAATTGATCTCCGTTAACAGATATCTGTTGCAGGGAGAAAACAAAATTAGTTGAAGCGGAGTAAATCTGACTGCAATGTAAGCTTGTTATTTTGGTGAAGTGTTGGAAAGTTTTTTAGGTTTTACTTTTTACTGTAAAAAAAACTAATCATTTCTCGAGAATGTAGTTTCATGTGTTACAAGAACTCAACTATTTGGGTAATCTGAAGAGACAACCTTTGCCCAGGGCAGCTTGTCATCAGAGCAACCTCTTGGAAATCCATTGTACCCAATTCCTGATATAAGAAGAGAATAAAAACCAACAGCGCCATAAATTTCAATTTGAGTTCTAACCTGGCAATGGTGGCAAATAGTTGGACTCGAGAATTGCAAGTACATTATAAGAATTTTAATCATGCATTTTACAGTAAAGTAGCGAATTAAAACAGCTCAATTCTCAGAGCTGCTTTTGAACAATAGTTTCATGGTAAGTGTTAATTTGAAAAGCAAAAAGGTCAAAATCCATGATGTTGCAATTTCCCTTCTTGAAGGGAGAGCTTACACCAAGTTTAATAGAAACTTATTAAAAACTGAAAGGCTCTTCTTAAAGCAACAGCAACAAGTAGAGAATACTTATCTAATAGAATCATTTAACTTTCATTATCATTAGCTGCAGCAACAGCTTAAGAAAACTTAACCCAAATACTTGGATTCAGCTTATGAATCTTTCTTTCCCATCAATTCCTTCTTAAAGCAGTATTTGGCATTAATTCTAGTTTAGGTAGAAAATTTTGTGCACTCTATGCTAAGTTATGTGTTGTCCTTCTCCAGGGGCGATCCAGTCCCGAAATGATATAAATCATATGAACAGAGCGCTGCTCACACCTTCTTAGACATTGCATATCAAAATAAATAGAAGCGAAAACAGTTGTTTCTTTACAGGAAAATATTTAAAAGAAATAACTGAAAATAACTTACCAAGAATTATTCCATTTTGACTTACTAGGCATGCACCAACCTACAACGTAATAAATGATTAATAAATGGATAGCTAAACAAGGAGAATAAACAGAAACAGATGTAAACATAAAAGAATAAATGACTGGGATCTTATAAGTAAATTTGTAAGCATATTAATATAACTTCTATAAACATAAGTTCCATGATTGTTTCACTTTCCGTCATGCATATTAAGCAATTATATATTATTTTCACATGTTATCATGATTGTGCTTTGAATACATATTAATGCAGATTTTTTATAACATATTCATAACAAAGCTATATATATTTTTAAATGCTTATGATACTAATGTTAAAAAGGAAATTGATAGGAAACACTTGAAGATCTCAAGTATTTCCTAGCATTCTTCAAAAACAGCGAGAATTATTCACAAAAATTCACACAAAACCAAGAAAACAGTAGAAATTTACATTATTTGATGAAATAGAAGCCAAAATAGCAAATATAATTGATCCTCAATTCGAGAGGAGGATCGATCTCTCCCAAATCTCTAGACGCCGCTAAAGCCCAAAGAAAAACCTAATTCAAGAGATCTCAAATTTTAGCCAAATTCAAAATGCCCTAACCCTAGGAAAACAAAGTATTTAATGCATACAAATCAAAAGGAAATCCCTAAACAGTCCCTAGATTCAAATTCCCCTCCCAAATCCCTCAAAAATCCTTCCTAAATTGCTTTGTTTTCTTCAGCGGGGCATGCGGCTGAATCGGGAGGCGGAGGCTTCCGCCTCGTCGCGCCTGGACCGATCCCGCGTAGACCGGTTGGACCGGTCCATTGGACCGATCTAACAATAATCCCCTCCCGAAGATCCACCTTGTCCTCAAGGTGGAGATATGCTCGTGTTCTGGTGGAGGTGGACATCCTTGAGGTGGCTGAAAATCCTTACCAAATTGCTGAATTAGGGGTTGCCCTGAAAGAGAAACATCCCCTCCCTCCTCCTTCCTGATCACATCTAGCTTGTGTAGTCCCACCAGATAATCTTCCCCCACCTCTTGTAGGCTCCTAACCATGGTCTTAAGTGATACCATGGCTTTGAATAGCACTGAATCTCCCCTTATAACCACCTGTCTCCCATCCACCATTAATTCCATCGTGAGTGCTCCCCAATTGTCCTTGGTTTTCCCCCAAGGTTTGTAATCATTTCATTCCTAGGATGACATCAGTACTTCCTAACTCTAGTGGGAGAAAATCCCCCCTTACCTGAATCCCCTGGATGGTTAACACCACTCCTCTACAGATCCCCTGGCCTTTCTCCACCTTCCATGTACCCATCATCACCCCATAACAACCGGTGTCCACCAATTTCACTCGCAGTTGGTTGACGACCTGAGTGAAAATGAAATTATGGGTAGCCCCACTGTCAATCAAAACAACCACCTCCATGCCTGCTATTTCCCCATTTACTTTCATCGTATGATTCAAAGTGAATCATACTACTGAATTCAGAAAAACCTCGGCCAAATCCAAATGCAACTTCTCCTCCATCTCTTCATTTAACTCCCCCTCACCTCCCTCAGTTTTCTTGTCATCACAGACGGTGAGAACCTGAAGAGTTCAGTCCTTACATTGATATCCAGCATTAAACACAAACCTATTTTTAAGAATGCTCTGATACCAATTTGATAGGAAACACTTTGAAGATCTCAAGTATTTCCTAGCATTCTTCAAAAACAGCGAGAATTCTCCACAAAAATCCACACAAAACCAGGAAAAAAGTAGAAATTTATAATATTTGATGAAATAGAAGCGAAAAATAGCAAGATACAATTGATCCTCAATTTGAGAGGAGGACCGATCTCTCCCAAATCTCTAGACGCCGCTAGAGCCCAAAGAAAAACCTAATTCAAGAGATCTCAAATTTCAACCAAATTCAAGATGCCCTAACCCTAGGAAAACAAAATATTTAATGCATACAAATCAAAAGAAAATCCCTAAACAGTCCCTACATTCAAATTTCCCTCCCAAATCCTTGAAAAAGCCTTCCTAAATTGCTTTGTTTGCTTCACCGGGGCGTGTGACTGAATCAGGAGGAGGAGGCTTCCGCCTCATCGCGCCTAGGCCGGTCCCGCGTGGATCGGCTGGACTGGTCTAATAGAAATCTAGTCATAACTTATGGGAAAAGTTGTCAAACTATAATGAACTGTGCAACAAGAAGCAAAACGGCTAATGAGAGACTATATTTACATGCCAACAAGGGTTCCCAACAATCAATAATTGCATGTTAAATTAGTCCAAGCACAATCGAGGGTTCATTCAATAACTGCTATGTTGAATCAAATCCAACTCTTATTGACGGTTATGATGGGCGACAAGCTAAATTAAGATCATATAATTTATAAATATGTCAAAACTAGACAACTATTATATGACAATAGGATTAAGATAAATAAGAATGAAAATAAGAATATTGAAGTAAAACTACAATTTACACTAGCATTTGACTCGTATTAGGCATTGAATGTTTGGACACTTGATGGTTATAGTTTAACTCCTCGTAGGCATTCATGCTTATTGCTTAGGATTGTATCACGTACTATTTCAATTACCAATTCATGCTTTAATTTGACATTTCGTGCAATAATTATTACTATTGATGCTATTAAAAAAATTAGTAGGACATATTCTTTTTATTTTATATATTTTTTTGCTAAGATTTTGAACTATGTATTAGACTTATTTATTTCATTGAGTGTTATAGCTCATCAGATATTATTTTGACTATTATTTCAGATAATGGAGGAGAGCAGATTGGGATGCAGCATTGTAATAAGATCTTATCCTTCATCTTAGTATTATGTTGCATAGTTTTGGTATTTCAAAGAAGAAGGATGTTTATGATATATATTAAAGGTTTATGGTATTTGTTAGCTATATAAGATATTGGTTAGAAGCTCTATAGTTCATACAACAATAACAACATCAAGTTTTTATCCCACTATGTGGGGTCAGCTACATGAATCTTTTTTCTCCATTGTGTCCTGCTAAGAGTTAAATTCTCATTTAAATCCCTTTACCTTTCTTAAAATAAGTTAAATCTAATACATATACTTTCCTAACCAAGTCATCGGAAGGCCGCCATTTTATGTGACCAAATCATCTAAGGCGACTCTCTCTAATCTTATCTTCCAATGGAGCTACTCCAACCATTTCATATATATGCTCATTTCGTATCCTGTCTCTAAGAGTAAAATCACTTATCCACCTGAGCATCCTCATCTCTGCAACACTAACTTAATATTATGCTTCTCTTTTAATGGCCAACACTCTGCACCATAAAGCACTACAGGTCAAACCACCATATTATAGAATTTTCTCTTAAGTTTGAGGGGGACTTTTCTATCACACAATAAGCCCGACGCATTCCTCCACTTCAACCATCCAAGTTGAATTCTACTAATAACATCCCCATCTATTTCACCATCACTTTGAACAAAAGACCCAATATACCAAAAATGTGTACTTTTATTAATGTCTTGATCACCCAAAGCTCTATAGTTCATATTCATGAATTTAATTATCAACACTTCCGTATTAATAGTTGTGACAGATCTATTTGAGAAGCATGAAAAAAAAAATTGTTTGGTGACAATGTAGGCAAATAGGGTTTCTACTTATTTGATCATGCTTACTTAGAATCAAAGTGAGTGTTGAACAGAAATGTATTTGATTTGCCGGCCTCTGCAACATCTCCTGCTTGACTAAGAAGAGATGTAATCAGGTGTGACATAGATTCTTATTTCAATTTTGTTGAAATTCAGCATGGTTGTATTTTTGTTAAAGAAGTTAAAGCTTTGCTTATAATTTTGAAGAGTTGATTTGGATGAGGAACTTTTAGATTTACAAAGTTATAGAGGGAGTATAATCACGAAGTGTGTATATTTTTGTGTTTGATGATATTGCGATTGTTGTTCATTAATGCTGCTTATTTTGTTATTTTTTAGGGCATGTGACACATTTTCTTGTTTCAAAACTATTCATGTGTCTTGCACAAGAGGATTTAAAAATAAGACATGGCTTATTTCTTTTATCGATTTTGTCATTTTACTGCTTTCACTTATTAACATCCACTTTGATTGCGTGATTTTGGTTGGGGTTTTTCACCTTTTAAACATCATTAAAGTTTTTTGTTGTTTCTTATCTTAAATATTGATTCTTAAAAATTAATATTGATTATATTCTTGATAGAATATTAGGTAACATTATTCTATTTATCATCATGTTGCCCTTTCTAATTAGTTTTTTTTGGATCTGCTTAGGCTTGATACCAGACATTATTTACATTACTCTGGATAAATTATACGCACATTTAGATACTAAATCCAGAAGCCGACAGTCAAATATTTTATTAGGTTTTAGCTAGATTTAACAACTGGCATACCATTTTTTTTTAATTTAACACCCTCGGATTATCTAAATCGGATTTAATGGATTTACTAAATCTTACTCAAAGATACAAATCCCCTAAGAAATGACAAAATGATGAGGACGATCATGTTCCGCACGACCAGGAGACCGTCCACTATTGCAATCCTCCTGCTACTTTTCCCTTTCTGTTATGCACGTTCCCTGTTTTCCCTTTACATTTTTTTCCTTTTTCCCATAGTAGTAAAACACCCAATAGAGATATATAGGTAGAAAAGTCATAGGAAAAGCTCATTCTAGAAGAAATATATCCAGTTTTAATGTTCCATTGCCCATTGTTTTGCTCTAGTTTTATTGCAGGTACCATCTCCGGCGAACTGCTGCGTTCAAGGTACGTCAGGTTGGTATCAGAGCCGGCATCCGGATTCATGGCTGCGGAAACATCTCGTCGAGCTCCTGACGATGATCGAAGTGTGGATGACGTGTGGGTAGCGCAAGCTAGCTTCACACGGCAACTGAATGAACTGAGAACGGACTTCCTCCGTCTCTCAACTGAGTTACGGAATGACATACGAGAGCTTAAAGCTTCTATCAGCAATGCTCTTCCACAGGTCCAACCACAGGCCGCACCAGAGCGAGGAAATCAAGTGCATGAGATCCGTCCACCCCGAGCCCCGCCGGTCAGGACATTTCCTCACCGACCACCGCGTCATGATCCCGTGGAAGTTACGAAATACGATGAAGACATTGATTTCCATCAACACCAAGGATTTACTGATTCTGGAGATGATGTAGTTCATCGATTTTATGATCGCCCCATATACCGAGTCCAGCGTCCTCCTCCTTCGGGCAAATTTCGGATGAAATTGGATATTCCCTTCTTCGAAGGACGGCTACATATTGAGGATTATCTAGACTGGGAAAGATCGGTCGAAGCATTCTTTGAGTATATGGAGATCATCCCTGACAAGCAAGTCAAATACGTGGCCAGTCGATTGAAGGGCGGCGCAAGTGCGTGGTGGTTACAGTTGTTACAATCTCGCCGGAGAGAGGGAAGAGGACCCGTTCGCAGTTGGCAGCGAATGAAGCAACTTCTCCGAGGACATTTCCTACCTACAGATTATGAGCAAATATTATATCTACAGTACCAACACTGTTCTCAGGGACATCGAGCTGTAAATGAGTATACAGAGGAGTTTTACCGTTTGAGTGCTCGAAACAACCTCCAGGAATCTGAGAATCAGCTCGTTGCGAGATACATTGGTGGTATGAGGGACCTAATACTGGATAAATTAGAACTCAATTCCGTCTGGACCTTATCCCAGGCGGTGAACTTCGCTTTAAAAGCTGAAAACCAATTACTGCGTCACTCCCGCGGCAGCGCTTCAGGCAATTCTTCCAGGCGGGCTTACGCCGACTCCTATGCTCATAATTCAAAAACCAGTCCGCATACTAGTAGTCCAGCTTCAATTTCCCGCGCCACTACCACTACCAACTCTCCAAATCAAAACCTTGATACTACTGTTGAACCTAAAGGCCCATTTAAGGCACCAGTCCCTGCAAGGGATAATCCCTATAGCAAACCTGGAACTCTGAAATGCTACAGATGTTTCCAACCAGGACACAAGTCCAATGAGTGTCCGAATCATCAACGAATTCAAATATTAGAGGGAGAGACTCCTGCCACAGAGGGAATTCCGACCTCAGCTGAGTTAGAATCCGACGTTGGAATTGAAGATGTGCACGGCGACGAAGGTGAACCACTTATCTGTGTCATCTAAAAGCTTCTACTAGCACCCCGCACTCCGACTCACTCCCAGCGAAATGCCTTGTTCAAGACCCGATGCACTATACAGGGAAAAGTATGTGAACTACTAATTGACAGTGGGTGTACGGAAAATGTGATCTCCCACTCCGTAGTGCAAGCATTACAACTCAAGACCACAAGCAATCCCCATCCTTACAAGGTTAGCTGGATCAAGAAGGGTATGGAGGTAACAGTGACGGAGATGTGTCGTGTTACATTCTCAATTGGGAAACACTATGTATGTGAATTTATCTGCAACATAATTGAGATGGACATCTGCCATCTTATCTTGGGCCGACCATGGCAGTATGATATGGGAGCCATTTATGACTGCAGACAGAATGTCTATACAGTTGATTGGAAAGGAAAGAAACTTAGATTGTGTCCGCAGACACCCACATTATCCAGCTCAACCCCTGCTCATAACGCGACTTATATGGTCTCGGGTAAGCTTTTGGTGCAGTCACGGCAGGATGTTAAGACGCTCATGGCGCTAGTTGTATCTGACAACAACAAAGAAGTTGCTACTACTCAATATCTCGTGGAAATCTGCAAGATTCTGGATCAGTTTGCTGATGTGATTCCTTCCAAGTTACCACCAGGACTACCACCTCTCCGCTCCCTGCAACATCAAATTAAGTTTGTCCCCGGCGCCACGTTGCCGAATCTCCCTTATTATCGTATGAGTCCCAGAGAGTGCTCAATCTTATAGGAAATCATCAAGGAGCTACTTGACAAACAATTGATCCAGCATAACTTGAGCCCCTGTGTGGAACCTGCCTTGTTAGTGCCGAAGAAAGACGGCCAGTGGCGTATGTGTGTGGACAGCCGCGCCATTAATAAAATCACTGTGAAGTATAGATTTCCCGTACCCCGAGTCTCCGACTTGCTAGATCGTTTGGCCGGTGCCTCTGTCTTCTCCAAACTTGATATGCGAAGCGGCTATCACCAAATCCGTATTCGTCCAAGTGACGAATGGAAGACCGCATTCAAGACTTGTGATGGCTTATACGAATGGAAGCTAATGCCCTTCGGGCTTTGCAATGCGCCTTCTACATTTATGAGGCTGATGCATGAAGTGTTACAACTGTTTTTGGGGAAGATTTGTGTTGCCTATTTCGATGATATTCTTGTTTTTAGTACTAATTTTTCAGATCACCTTGAACACCTCACTGAAATTTTGCAAACATTGCGGCAACACAAACTTTATGTGAACTTACCCAAGTGTGAGTTCGCCGCTTCTAGCGTCCATTTCTTGGGTTTTATTCTCTCCGACAGAGGTGTCGAAGTGGATCCTAGAAAGGTGAAAGCTATTAGAGATTGGCCCGTGCCGCAGTCCTTGTTCGACGTACTCAATTTTCATGGGTTAGCGAATTTCTATAGACGCTTCATCAGGGGGTTTAGTGTTCTAGTAGCCCCCATTACAGATTGCTTAAAAGCTAGCAGCTTCAAGTGGACCTTGGACCAACAAAACAGCTTTGAGACTATAAAGGTGGCCTTATGTTCAGCTCCCGTCCTAGCATTGCCGAACTTTGAAAAGCCCTTTCACGTGGACACAGATGCGTCGGCGGTGGGAATAGGCGCTGTTCTATCGCAGGAGTCCAAGCCAGTTGAATTTTTTAGTGAGAAGTTAAGTCCCGCCCGACAAAAATGGTCTGCTTATGAACAGGAACTTTACACTGTCGTTAGAGCCTTGAAGCAGTGGGAACATTACTTACTTCACCAGGACTTTGTACTGTGTAGTGACAATCAGGCCCTTCAGTACATCAATAACCAAAAAAATATAAGCCGCATGCACGCTCGTTGGATTGTTTTTTCTCCAGAAATTTACTTTTGTCTTACAGCATAAGGCAGGAAAGTTGAACAGGGTGGCTGATGCCCTTAGCCGGCGGGCTGCACTGCTTAGCCGTCTTGAGACGGAGGTAACCGGCTTATAGAAGATGAAATGCCTTTATGCTACTGATGCCGATTTCAGTGCTTACTGGGAGCAGTGCTCAACGGACCAACCTCGAGGTGATTATAGCATCCGCCACGGCTTTTTATTTAAAGCCAATTGCCTGTGTGTTCCTAATTCTTCTTGGAGACCATATCTTATTAAAGAGGCACATTGAGGAGGCCTAGCTGCCCATGCCGGACAGGATAAAACGCTCGCTCAATTGCAAATGCGATTTTACTGGCCCCATTTATCCAGAGATGTTTCTCGGTATATAGAACGGTGCTCGGTTTGTCAAACATATAAGGGAACGGCACAGAATACGGGATTATACATGCCTCTTCCCACACCGGATTCAATCTGGGAAGACCTTAGCATCGACTTCGTTCTAGGCCTTCCCCGCACCAAAGGTGGAGCTGATTCTATTATAGTGGTTGTTGATAGGTTTTCAAAAACGACTCACTTCGTTCCCTGTAAAAAGACCTTCGACGCCAACCATGTTGCACGACTTTTCTTTAAAGAAATTATTCACTTACACGGCATACCTTGTAGCATCACGTCCGACCGTGATGTTAAATTCATCAGCCATTTTTGGAGGGAACTGTGGAAGCGCTCGCACACTGAACTCAAACTCAGCTCCGCCTATCACCCGCATACCGATGGGCAGACTGAAGTCGTCAACCGCACACTTGGGAACATGTTGCGTTGCCTAGTCCAGGATCATCCAAAGAAATGGGAGGAGATGTTAAGCCAAGCCGAGTTCGCATTTAACTCAATGCCGAATCGGTCTACGGGTCACTGCCCATTCAGCATTGTGTATACAAAGATGCCCAATCACATAGTTGACGTCGCTGTCCTACCAAAATGCCGGAGTTCAGGTGCCGCACAATCTGCCGATCAGTACAAGGACGTTGTTGACAAAGTTCGAGCCAAGTTGAATGAGTCCAACCTCAAATACAAGCAAGCAGCCGATGAACACAGGCGTCAGCAGCTGTTTAGCCTGGGCGATTTAGTAATGCTCCGCATTCGAAGGGAGCGTTTTCCTTCAGGAACTTATTCCAAGTTGAGCCCCAAAAAAATCGGGCCATTTCCTATCCTAGGGAAGATTAATGACAATGTCTATGTCATTGACTTAACCACCAGCGTCCAAATATCGTCCACTTTCAATGTCTCTGACATTTACCGCTATCACCCCCCAGATGCTGCTGATACTATCTTAAACTCGCCGGAAGCGAGTTTTTCTGAAGACGGGGAGACTTGATGAGGACTATCATGTTCCGCATGACCAGGAGACCGTCCACTATTGCAATCCTCCTGCTACTTTTCCCTTTCTATTATGCGCGTTCCCTGTTTTCCCTTACTTTACGTTTTTTCCTTTTTCCCATAGTAGTAAAACACCCAATAGAGATATATATAGGTAGAAAAGTCATAGGAAAAGCTCATTCTAGAAGAAATATATCCAGTTTTACTGTTCCATTGCCCTTTGTTTTGCTCTAGTTTTCTTGCAGGTACCATCTCCGGCGAACTGCTGCGTTCAAGGTACGTCACAAAACAAAGAGAATGTATTGACTGGCTTAAAAAAAGAACAGAAATAATAGGAAAAGAAATAGCAAAATCCTAACCTGACGGTTTGGATCCTTAGATCGCTTAGCGGACAGGAATGCAATCGCCATGAAATAGTCGTCCCAGGAAAGATACCTAAACTCTCTTAAAATTGTCAGCTTTAACAGAATCAGATAGAAGTTGCGATCCGAAAGTAAGCTTACCCCTTGCGCTTGGAAGGATCGAAGGGACTCCGAGCTTGGGAACCCTCGACGGAAGCGTTCTCGGAAGCGGAGAAACAGCGAGGGCGGGGCCTCTTTGGATTGGAGGAGATGAATCGAAATGCAATCACCGAAGATAAAGCACCGAGGGCAGCAGAGATAGATACGAGGACGAAATCCTTTGCGCTAATCATGGCCGGCAATAGGGGTAGAAGAGCAGAGCAGATTTGCGGAGTGGAAATGGCGGGAAAGTGAGCTTGGCGCCGGAAAAGCAGGCTAAAGGGTGGCGCGTATGAAGGAAGCAACTTTTATTAGTTAATAAAACTCAAATGTTACTTATTTATAAAATTATGATATAATTATTTTTTAGGGAGATTTAGATAAATATTATACAATTTTTATACATTTATATATCTAATATTTCAATTTTTATGTTTATTTATATAATATTTGAATTTCTCAATCACATTAATAAATGTGCATGAAAATATATATTTCACTTTAAAAAATAAATATTAATAGTATTTTTATGAAAATTTAAAATTTAAGTGTTAAATAAGTAGATATAAGGATTTAACAATAGATATTTCGCTTTAAAAAAATATATATGTATTAGATTTTTTAAATCCCATTGCTCGTTATTTATAATAATATCAGCAAGTTTTAAATGGAAAACTCCACTGAAAGAAGAAGAATTTGATAGTGGCGTTCCAACACGAGATTCAAACATTACGTTAGAACTGTAGGTTTAAAAACAAAATGCGAATGATGTTAAGAAGTTTGAACTTAAGTTCGACCTAGCTTTGAATAAGGTTTAAATCTTATACTATATTTTTTAATCTTGTTTGAACTTAGATGGAACACGTTTCAGATATAGAAATTGGGTTAGAATAAAGTTCATACTCGATTCAAACCTAAGGTTTGTTTATTAGTTTTGTGCCTCCCATCATATTATTTAGGATTGTACCATGAATCTTATTTAAAGGAAAGCCTATCGACTTACCCTTAAGTGTAGATTACTATGTCTCTAGCCAACTTGAATTACTTAATCATTTCTAGCCATCATTTCTTACTTTTATACTATACTAATGCCAAATCATATTAATCATATAATAACAATTATCATGTCTTTCAATACAATTATTTAATTGGTATAAATCAATAAAGTGTACTTATCAATATGTATGTATTATGTTAAAATGCATATTGGATCAATAAACAATGCTTTTACATATGCATATAATGTATTTCATACATTTGAGTACCAAGCTCCAAAATTTTTTTTTTGCATACTTTTAATCCATTCATTTCATTAAAAGTGGCATATACATAAAAATACCTAGTTGAATTTCAATATGCTACTTTGACGCTTCAAGACCTAAATTGAAAGAATTATATGTTTATTTTTTTATTAATCTACCAAAGACATTAATTTCTTTTTAAATCAATTTAACATGGTAAAAGCATCCATTTTCATTTATCATATAATCTCATAACATACATCACTAATCAAAATTAAACATACAATAACCAGAAGTTCAATCCAATGATATCCATATATTACAACCCTTTTGGTTACAAAAGAGTAAAACAAAATGCAAAATGATAATTAAACCTGAAAATCTGACTCTGATCAATCTCACTCTAATGGCCTATTCTTGAATTTGAAATCAATTAAACCACAATAATGAGATATAAAGCTCAATAGGTTACCAGAATCTAACAAAGCAATCAATACAAGCAAAGAAATTAATATGTTGTGTATCCATCACTCATTATAATCCATATAAAAGCATCTATGCAATTGTAAAATTCAATGAATAAATATCATAAGTTAATATGATTGGTAATCTAAAAAGACCAAATATCATATAATGCTGAACTCTATAAGACATATATAATTATAAATATGTAGCAAAAGTATATATTTATCAATGCATGAATAAATTATTCTATATTAAGAGTCCATCAGTTCTATAAGTCATGAATGTGCAAATGTCATAACAATATGATATGTTATATCTGTATGTAGTGCTACCATATTATGAATACTTTATTTGTTAATTTGTATATATATGAGTATGCAATTCATAAATCTGTTATCTATCTTCTTTATTCTTATTTATCAATTCATTATCTATCATTTCATTTATGCAATCACATATTTATATCTATATGTTGTCAATGCATAAATGTGATTTAGTAAGGCATGTCATTCAGCTTTAATGTGGTGTTTTCAATACATGTTTGTTATTCATCTTTCAATCAATCCATCATTATTAATCAATATCATCTTTCATCTATTTCTATCAATTATTTACTTTAATAAGCAGCTTTCAATAATTCAATAAAGACTCATCATTCCCTCCCCATCGGTACGGTGTAATCGGTCAACAATTATATACTAACATTTAGGATTACACCACGAACCTTTATTTTAAGAAAAGCCCATCGACCCACCCTCCTATACAAGATATTACATTTTAATAGCCAATTTGTATTAATTATAGTGTTTATGATCAATCTTCTTTGCTTACATGTAATTTCCCGATTCATCATATGTTAATTGTATCATTTCCTCTTTGCAGTACAATATTATGCATGAAATGCTATAAAATGCTTAATAATTTATTTACTATTCATTAACTTCAGAAAATTATAACTATCAATTTACCAAGTGAAATTTCATAATAGTATTGATAAAATGTTCATAAAAATGATATTGATCATATAAAAAAGTTATAAGGCAAATGCTATATGTTAATTGTATCATTTCCTCTTTGCAGTACAATATTATGCATGAAATGCTATAAAATGCTTAATAATTTATTTACTATTCATTAACTTCAGAAAATTATAACTATCAATTTACCAAGTGAAATTTCATAATAGTATTGATAAAATGTTCATAAAAATGATATTGATCATATAAAAAAGTTATAAGGCAAAAGCTTGATAAATAAAAAAAAAAATATTTTTACCAAATTTTGAGAAATTGAAATCATAGGAAATAAAATCATTGAAAAAAAAAGTAAGATTCATGTTACCTACCATGATTAGAAGAAATTTCACAATGGATATGATGGTTGAAAACACCATGATCTGTTTTTTCTCTCTTCTCTTTTTACTTCTTTACTCTTCAAGCAAATGATTTTTTTTTTCCCACTACGTGGGGTCGGCTACATGAATCTTTTTTCTCCATTGTGTCCTATTAAAAGTCAAATTGTCGTTTAAATCTAATAAAGAAATGTCATTTCTAATATTTTCTAACCAAGTCTTTTTAGGTCTACCCCTACCTTTCTTAACACAAGTCAAATCTAATACCTCTACTCTCTTAACTGGGTCGTCGGAAGGCCGCCTTTTTATGTGACCAAACCATCTAAGGCGACTCTCTCTAATCTTATCTTCTACTGGAGCTACTCCAACCTTTTCACGTATATGCTCATTTCGTATCCTATCTCTAAGGGTAAAGCCACTCATCCACCTGAGCATCCTCATCTCTGCCACACTTAACTTATTATTATGCTTCTCTTTTAATGGCCAACATTCGGCACCATAAAGCATTGTAGGCCTCACTACCATCTTATAGAATTTTCCCTTAAGTTTGAGGGGTACATTTCTATCACATAACAAGCCCGATGCATTCCTCCACTTCAACCATCCAACTTGAATTCTGCTGATAATATCCCCATCTATTTCACCATCACTTTGAATAATAGATCCAAGATATCTAAAACGTGGACTTTTATTAATGACTTGATCGCCCAAAGTCACAATCCTCTCACTAGGACTATTACTACTAAAATTACACTCCATATATTCAGTTTTATATCTACTCAAGCAAAAACGTTTAGACTCTAAAGTTGACATCCATAATTCGAGTTTACCTTCAACTCCCTCTCTAGTCTTATCAACAAGAAGAATATCATCAGCAAAAAGCATACACCAAGGTACATCCTCTTGTAGATGTCTAGTGAGAACATCCATGACTAAAGCAAAAAGATATGGCTTAAGGCTGATCCTTGATGTAACCCAACCGAAATAGGGAAATACTTGGTCAAACCACCTTGTGTTTGAACACAAGTAATAGCTCATACATACATATCTTTAATGATTTGAATATAAGCATTATTAACTCCTTTCTTTTCAAGAACTCTCCATAGAACTTCTCTTGGAACTTTATCATATGCTTTTTCTAAATCAATAATTATCATATGTAGATTTCTCCATCAAACATCTTAATAAATGTATGGCTTCCATAATCGACCTACCCGGCGTGAATCCAAATTGATTTTGAGAAACATTAATATCACGCCGCAACCTATGCTCCATAACTCGCTCCCGTAGTTTTAAAGTATGACACATTAACTTAATTCCTCTATAATTCGCACAATCTTGTATATCACCTTTATTTCTTAAAAATAGGAATTAACATACTCATTCTCCACTCATATGGCATCTTTTTAGTCTTTATTGACCTCATCTTTGAACCCAGATCAAATTAAACCCAAATGCCACTTACACTGCGTGGACCAGATCCAGACCCATCTCCCACATCAAGCCCAGGGTCTGACCTAACCTGGGTTGAGCCCAATTCGACCCAAACCGAGCAGGTTTGGGTCAAATCTAGCCACCTGATCAAGTTGAACCTCCCTAGGCCCAATTGAGCTCACCTTTGACTCCAGCATGTCTCCATCCTTCTTTCCTGGTCAACCCAACCCAAACCCCAGTCGGCGACGGCCGGAGCTAATGGAGAACGAGCTCCAGTGGTCCCCCTATTTTATCCTAACCCAAAGCCTTCCAAAGGCTATGGCTCACCGGCCAGAAGCTCACGAGCCCTCTAGGATGATGTCCCCCTCCACCTGGCTCCCATCCGAATCCCCTCCGAATCAATCCCGACCGTCCAAGCTCACGGGAGGTGGCTGAATAGGGAAACTCATTCTTAAAACCCCAGTTCATCTCTTAGCATTCAAAATTACTTTCCATTGCTCCCTCTTCCTTCCAGTGCCATTCCCCAGCTTCCCAGGCTATCCCGTCGATCTTTTCGAGCGAGCTCTGGTGAAAGCTTTTAGCACCGCACTCGTAGTCATACCTCCGGCCATCCTCCGGTCCCAACGTCTGAAGGAGATCCGCTTGCCTTCATCCCTTGAAGCTTCCTGATAGAGAAGTTCATTCTTTGAGACATTCTCTACGATAATTTCTCCATCCTAAGCTCCATAGCTAGGTAGTCTGGTCAAGTGTGAAGGAAAACTTCACCCCAGCTGATCTCCATCGTTGGATTGAAGGTTCCC